GTATGCTGCTCATGTTCAGCTCACACTTAGCCAGAGATGCACAGGGCCCCTGGATGACAGCAAGCTGACCTGCATGACAGACCATTATAGCTGGAATAATAATAATAAAAAAATCTATCAACTCCATGAGGCCCAACCAAACCTTACCCACTATAATTCATTGTTCCCATTCCTTAAGGGGCCTTTTGTTCCCTTCCCAACTGAAAGGCCTGTGGTAAGTGATTCATACTCTCAACAATACTGACTGAGTGTATGCTATGTGCCAGACAGGGGGCTGTAGGGAAAGCAGCAGAGGCCCTGAGTGATCACTCAGCAGTATGTGTTGGCTCTGCCATAACATCTGTGGTCAATTTTTGTCAGGACTCTAAGATGGAGCAATGTAAAAAACCTTACACAATGACCCAGGAGATGTCCTAAGACGTGTTCATGGACTGTTGAGATATTTCCTGCTTTTAATCTCCATCACTAATTATTCCTTTCAGTGAAAGACCTCAAGTTCAAAGCTACACATGTGTGGGCATGGGGGTTATCACAGAAAACCCAACATCTTCTGCTCAATTGTGTTGTAAGCCTTAAACTGCTCCTTATAAATTCTACTATAGGAAAGAAGAAAGAAGGCAGAGGGAGGGAGGAAGAGAGGGAGGGAGACCAATTATTAAACAAACAAAACCTCAAGTAGCCCAACACATTCTAGGGTGAATAACCTAGAGAGATGTAGGCCATGGGTTCATTAATGCCCATTTCCATGTCTCAGTTCAGCAGACTAGAAGCTGTCACCTGCTGTGTCTTGCACACAAAGGCTGGACAGGTCAATTTGACAGCAAGAAGAAGCTTATGAAATGCCTGGAACATTTGTAGTTACTGGTAACGGGGTTGTGGGAAAGAACAGGGCAGAGATGGAAGTCAGAGGAGGTGAGGACAATGAAAGACTAGACATCCAAATGGGAGGCAGGGATGGAGGAGAGAAAAAACGCCATACGGAGATGGAGGGATGCTCCTTAGCAGATGCTCTGAGGCTAGCCCCACAGTGGTGGAGGATGCTGGCAATTACCATAGCCTCACCCTGACAAAGGTCCTTCGTCAGCATAACAGGAAAAGTCAGCTGACAGTGTTTAGAGAATTAACAGTGATACAATCCCAGCAAGTCCCATAGTACCTGGCATACAGTAACTGCTCAATAAACTACTCAAGATTACTGTGCCACTTGCAATGAAAAAACACTGCTTTCCCCTCACCTCTTAATAAAAGTTTTTTTGGGAGAGGTGGTTTGAGGAAGGGTTTCTCTGTGGCTATGGAGCCTATCCTGGAACTAGTTCTTGTAGACCAGGTTGATTTGAACTCACAGAGACTCGTCTGACTCTGCCTCCCGAGTCCTAGGATTAAAGGCATGTGCCACCACCGCCTGGATGAAAGTTTTTGTTGTTGCTGTTGTTTGTTGTTGTTGTTGAGGCTAAGACTGGTCCTAGTCAACTGCCAATCTCACTCCTCTAAGCCAGTGTCTCCCAGATTTCCATCATATGTATGTACACTATCCTCATTATTTCTGTTCTCTCCAAATTCCATCTCTTACACTTTTTAACAATGCATGTTAACAATATAAACCATAATCACAACAGTGACTATGACCAGATTCACAGATCTCGTTGACCCCACTGATTCTAAGCTAAGAGCTCAGCAAGTACCAGACTTTCGCCCTTACAACTCTGAAGTCATTTTACTGTTGAAAAAATGGCATAGATGGGTAGGGGTGTAGCTCTATTTGTGGAGTGCTTGCCTAGCATGCATAAAAAGCTCTGGGTTTGATCCACAATACTGTACAAATGGGCATCAAAAATCTCATCACTCAGGGTAGAGGGAAGAGGACTAGAAGTTCAAGGTAAACCTCAGACACAAAGCATTGGAGGCAAGCCTATGCTACATATTCTATGTCAAAAATATATGTATATATACATATACACATACATGCACACATACATACAGGGGAGCGAGCAAGATTACTTTACCAGTTGATGACAGAGATTCACACACATTCTGGTCACAGAAGCCACCCTGTATCACTGCTCATAATTCCTCTCTCATTTCTAAAAGCCTGTGTTTATTAAAACATTTTAATTGATTTGCTTAAATTGAGACTTAAGTGTAAAATTGTATGATGTCTTAATTCCTCCTCTCAGAGTTCAGGGAACCCCACAGAAGAGGAGGTAGAAAGATTGTAAGAGTCAGAGAGGTAGGAGGACATCTCTAAATTAACCGAGCAAAGCTCATATAAACTCACAGAGACTGGAGCAGCATGCCCAGGGCCTGCACAGGCTGGCACCAAGTTTTGAACTTAGTATTTTTATGGGACTCCTGGATGTGTGAATCAGTGGGTCTCTGATTCATGTGTTTTCTCTTAGGCTCTTTCCTTCTGTTGGTTTGTCTTGCCCAACTTGGATGTGATAGTTTTTGTTTCATCTTATTATATTATTATAACTATACTATTAAATTATTATAGTATATATTATATATTATTATATTATTATTTTGTCATTTTTCAAAAAATAATTAATGGATGGAAACCTAGCCAGTAGGGCAACAACTGAACTGCACACTTGCACCTACTGTGACACTTGGTGTATCAGCTACATGAGCAGGTCTCATGTTCTGGAGTAGGTGACTAACATATAATTGAACTCTACAGGGTGTGTGTGTGGTTTATTTAGTTACCATTTGGTGTTTTTATTTTTTAATTTTTAGATGTGGTTTTATTTTACTTTCTTGGCTGTTGGGGGCGTTGTTATATTGGTTTTTTTTTTTTGAGAAAAAAAACTTGAAGTTGGGTGGGTAGTAAGGGGAAGAGGATCTGGAGGGACTTAGGGGAGGGGAAAATATGATCAAAATACATTTGAATTTGAAAAATGTTTTAAATTATGACAATATAAAATAAGAATGCAAAAATTATGATGCCATTTAAATCTTGAATCTCTCAAACAGTGTATGCAAACGGTAACTATTATGTTCTTTAAAAATATTTCCTTGTGTTTCCAACCATGACCAATGAAACAATTATTGGGGAGAAAGATTATTACGTTATACATGGAAGCATGCTTCTATTTCAAATACAAAGCCGTGAGACAGTACTAAAATTGATCCTCACTTCCTCCTTCACAACAAAAGCTAGAATTTCATTTGGCAAATGGCTGCAAAGATGAAAAATTGCATTTTCCATTCAGATGTGGGTCTGTGAGTAAGTTATGGCCAATAAGATGCAAAGACTCTAATCATGAAGGACAGGATGGACATGTCCTCGTAGGAGACTGAACCTGCTCTTCATTCCCTTCGCTCTGATCCTAAGAATGAGAATGAGGCCACGAGGGAACCAACTACCATCTTGAATCATGAGAAAACATGCAAAACAACATCAGACCAAAGCTGCAACGAGAAAGAAACAGGATCCCTCGTGACCCTATGAAACTTCAAGCCTGCATTGCCAACCACCATACTTATTTTCTTAAATCCCTACAGTATGATGGTAGCCCTGACTTCAGGTTGTCGTTGCTGTTGTTGAATGCAGTCAAACCTCATTCTAACCTGTCTATTATTTGTTTCCGACTCCAGCGCCTCCCTTCTCCAGGAGAAGATACACTAACAGAAACCCTCACTCAGAAAATGCATCCCCCAAGGAAAGCTCAGTAGCCTGGAAAGTAGTCCTGGGGTAAGAAGAGTTGGTGTCTCGGAGCTCTCCACTCCAGGTGCTTGATGTTCTGCATTCTCTTCATTCTTCCCCATACATATACCTGGCCCATTCATCAGGAACTCCAGTACCACATCTGATGGCTGTACCCAAACTCAAACCCAATAGAGAGTGTCCGTAAGGGCTAGTTCTAAACCCACAAAAGCCCTTCCCTTGGAGTCAAATACACGTCACACTGGCTTACTTATCATAGAACTCTGCACAGATTGTAGTATCTGTCGACATAGCCCAGGGTTCCAAGAAACTCTTTTTGTGATTGCTAAGAGCACTGTATCTAAAATACGAGCTAATGGAAATCAGATGCTTAAGAACAAACACTTGTCTACTCTTCCATATTACACGTTAACAGTATTTTAAGGGTAGTTACAAAGAATCTCCTGAAAACATTTGTCTCTGTCCCTCAGGCACTCCACTGGAAATCCTGAATGCCCTGGACATGGAGGGCTGCTTACCCCTAGCCCACAGCCACCACAGAGTTAAGTTCCACTTCCCAGGCCTGGCATGTGCTCAGTCAGAAACCTGGCTGAGTGCCTGCTGTTTACTGAAGCTAGGGAAGGCGCATCTGCAATGTTACGAAAAGCATATTGCAAAAGGCAACACATGCAAATTAAACCTCTTGAGCTATGAGTAAATTGCTGGGAAAATTTATAACTCATTTAATAAAACTTGAAGTAAATACATAGCCTGGCTCCCAGGGAAAACAAAATATTTCCCATAATTCTCTTCTCTTAAGAAAAACAGGAAGAAAAGAGGAAAAACAGAAAAGGACAATGGAGCCAGAGGCTCTATCAAGTGTAAAGTGTAAATAGCAGTTGTGGCAGTCACTGAAACTCATTTAAAACACACACGGTAGGGAGTGCCACACCCTCTACTCTCAAAGGATGCATGTTGCAATATCGATGTGGAACCCATTTGCACAGCAACCCATGACTGTGTCCTCCCAATGAGGCTCTGTGGGACATCTCCTATTCATTAATTCATTTACCACACAAGTATTCACAAGGCACTGGCAATGTGGCCATTCAAAGCATGTTCTCTGAGCCCTGTGGCCTGGCTTTTAATCCAGATTTTGTCACTTACTGATTGTATGGCCTTGGGCTTCTGTATAAACATTCTAGGCTTCCAACTCCCCATCTATAAACCAGAAATAACAAGATCCATGGTCTTTGTGAAAATGAAATGGGTTAATATATGTGAATTAATTTCAGCAATGCCTAGAAAACAGAAACTCTTTAAGAAATATTAACTGTGCATTATTATTACTTACCATTATGTTAGGGCCCTTCTGCCAGCTGGACTATGTACAGGAGTAAACATGGAAGATGAAGGCCTTTGGTCATGGAATTTATATTGTACTAAGGGTAGAGAGTACATGTAAAAACACATGAATAAGCAACACTTTTAATGGCAGTAACAGGTACTCTTCCGAGAAAAGAAACTTCAATACTGTGGAATAGAGAATGGGGGCCACTTAGAAGTGGGGACTCAGTTTAGAGTCAGTTAACAGTTAGAGGTCTCTTTGAAGAGACATCCGACCTGAGATACAACTTAACTAAGAATGCTTTATACAAAGGGTCTATTTTATTAAATATCTTTCTGTGTTTATTCTCTCTTAGTGCTAACCCAAAGCCAAGAGGCACATAAGGAGAGGAACCAGATGAGCTTCAAACCCACTGTGTACCCAAGGATGACCCAGAACTTCTGACTCTCCTGCTTCTGCCTCTCAGATGCTGGAATTAAGGGCACGCCCCCACCATGTTTAGTTTATGTGTGTAGTGATGCAGAGTTAGGGATTGAAACCAGGACTTCAGAAGAAATATTTACTGGTCTCCTTGAGTCGTGAGGATCAAAGAATTCATAGATGAGACGCTCCCCGGAAGAGCTATAAATATGGCACTCAACCACGACAAGTCTATGTGAGTCAGGGGTTGCTGGGGAGTCCTGTTTTACAGACAATGAAAGAGCAATGCACATGGGGCCAGAGTGATGGCTTGGTGGTTTAGAGTACTTGCTCCACAATTATGAGGGCTGGAGTTTGGATCCAAGTACACAAATAACAAGCTGAGTGTCTCTGGAACACCTGTGACCCAACTCCGTGAAGATATAAAAAGAGGAGGATCACCGGGCTCTCTGATGTCTAGCCCAGCAGAAACAGGAGTTGCACATTCAAAGTAAGACCCTGCCTCCCAGGAATAGGTGGAAAGTGATAGGAGGGGATACCTGGCACCCTCTTCTGGCCTCTGTGTACATGCACAAGCACACACCTTCCCACGTATGCACATACACTCATACAGATACACACAGAGAAATAACTCTTAAAATAAAAGAAGGATGTCCAGAATTTCAGCAAGATCCCCAAAGACGATACAGAATTGATACTCAAGCATCTATCGCCAAAAGTCAGAGCTTCACACTGCATCTGGAAGGCTTAGTTCCAGGCTGATGCGTGCTCCGAATGACCTAAGCCTGATATGCTGTGAGTCCCAGGCAGAGGCATGTCTGACAGAACATGTTATCAGCCTCCCTTCATGGGATTAAATCTGTTACATGAAACCATGTGACACAATAATGGCAGTGACATCAATGGGAATGACATGGATGAGTTCTTAGGTTCTAGGCTCAGAAGCAAGCATTTTAAAACCCAACATCTGTTTTTCTTCCTATTTTAGAATGTGAGATATAATGTCTACCTGTTCCCGAATGGCAGAGCTGTCTGGTTTCTGTAGTTGCAAGCAACCCCAAGTCAGAGTGTCTGTCTACGCAGCGAATTCCCAGTGCAGGCGCCATGTCTTCCATGTGGGTCTGCTGACAACCCAAGTAGCACACAGGCCAGAGGAATTCAACATCATACCCAAACTGTAATTTCTGGAAAGTATGCCAGAGGAAGCCTCAGCCCTTGTGTGCCTATTTGCGTGGGCTGCAGATGGCGGCTCAGGAGATGAGATCCTGGCACAGGGGGAACTTCTGAAAGTCCTGACAGCTCCTCTAAGAATAAAGGCAGAAAATGACGGCTTCTGACGGGCTGCTCTGGGTCTCTCTCCGATGTCTTATGTATTTGGACATCACTCAGGCCCATCAGATCCCCAGTCTGCTGTCTGCTGACTGACAACAGAAAGGGAAATTTAGAGGTGTGAGTGAAGTGACAGAGCTGTCAGGGCTGCTTCTGAAACGACGACTCTTTTCTTAAAGAAAGGAAAGATAGCAGAAAAAAAAAAAAACCTCAGGCAGCTCAATGCCGTGTCACAGTTGCTGGGACAGGTCTCTATTTTGTTTTGTTTTATTTTGTTTTTTAAGAAAAAAGAAAAAGAAAGAGGAGCTATGGATGAATTTAAGCAATGAGAAGAAAAAATGGTTTCTCCCCGTTTTAATATCAGTCCTTCACAGAGTGAGATAGAACTGAGGTGCAGATCCTATCATTTGGACCCAACAGACGAAAATGTCAGTGAGATGGGATGCTTTCATTTAGGGACAGGAAATGTTCTTGAATATTTAAAAATATCTGCTTAAAACACAACAGAAAATGGAGGGGAACTGTAGAAACGGCAGTCGCTCTATCAGTAAGGTGCTTCCCTTGCAAGCATGCAGACCCAAGTTCAGATCTCTAGACCCTCAGGAGAGAAGCCGCATGTGGCAGTGTGTGCCTGCAACCCCGGCACCTTGGAGGAGGAGACAAGAGGATCCCAAGAACACATTAGCCAGAGGATCTGGGTGAAGCAGTGAGCACGGATTCAGTGAGATATCATTTCATGGGTACATAGATAAATGCAAATAAAGTCATAACGAAAGCTAATAGAAGACATCTAATGTTGACCTGTAACTTCCATAAGCATACACACTGATGAAACAAAGAACCCCAAACCATCAAATTCCAAAAGCCAGACTCTGAAATTCCCCTCTGGTTTCTTGTTTGTTTTTGTTTTTGAGATAGCTCATGGCCTTGGATTCTGGTTTTTAGGTGAACTTGTGGCCATCTTGGCCATAGAGATCAACTTAGCTATTAGAATCCCAATATGGGAAGCCAAAGCAAAGTATTGGTCAAACATTCAGTAAACAGCTAGGTAGTACATCTAAGAGCTGGTCCTGGCAGCACTACCCCTCCCAGCCAATGCCTCCTCTTGTGCTGGTCCCCTACAGAACTGTGCCTCTTTCTTTGACACTGAAAATATGGGAAAGTAAACATTTGCAAAGTTCTCTGAAAACTAAACCCATCTCTAGGCTGAAATGCTCAGGGGAATCAGACTTGAACAACAAGGGAGCCCTGGTAAGCCCTCCCTTTAACTACAAGATGTCCTTGGCCAAGGGGATCACATTTCAAAGGCCCCCATTTGCTCTGTTTTCTGTGAGCCCTAACTTTACAATAGCCCTGAGAAGAAACAGATTCCCCATCTCACCCCCAGGTCAAGCACAACTCAGAAAGGAATGCCTTTATTAAGGTAATGCTTCAGAAAACCCAATAACTCTAAATAGCAACCCCCAAAAACAGATCCTAATAGATGAGAGGAAATTGCACTTTGAGTATTTTTCCAAGAGTCCAGGAGGGCTTGAGTAAGCCAGAATAAGAAACCCCATCTCTCCTTGTAAAACACACTCCAGGAGAACAAGCCAGATCCAGATTGCTGATTGATGTAACACTTGGATTAGAAATACACACGGCATGAAACACAATTTCCAGAGAGGAAAAGGAAGCTCTGATGAGCCTGCTGAAAGAGAGGTAAGAACTTCACTCAAGCCTTCCACTTCAGCATTGGGCTGTGGGAAACTTTTATTGGAACAAACCAGCTGAGTCCATTAGCTGTCCACTGGGGAGCATAGCATAAACTCCTAACACCTTGGCTAAGAGAAGGCCCCATAATCACCCCGATTTCCTGCTGGGAGGAGAAAGAAATCATGGCAGAAAGAATAATAGAAAGAAATGGGAAAGTGTCCAGAGGAAAAGGATTCTTTTCTCTTCACACTTTTTCTCTCTACACTGCAGTACCGGCTGAGGCCACTAGAGACAGAGACTGGCAGGTAGTGCAACTGAGTGTGTAACAAAATCAACTTAGAAGAATTGTCTACATTAGCTATGGTCTCAGAGCATCATGGTGGGGCGGGGGAGATCAGTGGAGTGGTTTGGTTCATGAGTTTGGAGATGTATGGTGGAGGCAGAGAGACTATGACAGGAAGGAGGTGCCCGATATGATCTTCAAAGGTTCACCCTAGTGACCGCCTTCTGATGGCTAAGTCTTACTTCCCCCAAAGTTCCACAGCCTTCCAGTGCCACCAGCTGGGAACAAATGTTCAAAACATGAACCAATGGGGGACATATCATTACAACAAAGACAAGGAGGGCTGAAAAATCTGAGTCCCGGTTTTAATTCTTACTGTCTGTAATCCGGGCACATTGTTTTGTTCCTTGGGACTTCACACCCTCAGCTCTTGACCTACAACAGTCACCAATGTCCTCCTTACCTTCTCATTGTACTTACACAACCCAACCTAACATAGCCATGGACCCTGTGGCTACAATGTGGTTTATCCCCTCTGAAACTGCTGTTCCGATGTGGTTGCCACTGTAGGGGTGTTGAAAAGTGAGGCCTTTGAGAGGTTATTTGGTCGTCTGGAGTAATGTGTGCCTTTCTCACAGGAGTGGGGTAGTAGTTGTAAGAGTAGTTTGTTACAAAGTGGGCTCAGCCTCCTTTGTTCCAGTTTCTACTGTGTTTCTGCCATGCAGGAACGTGTGAAGATGTCCTCAGCAGAGCCTGATGGGCTATGAGAGCTGTGAACCAAAACTGACTTCGCTCCTTTGTAAGTTACCCCGTCTAGTGTATTCTTCTGTAAGAGCCTGAAAGGGATCAAAGAAAGATGATATTTGAGATTGCTAAACTTTTGAGCACAGAAGGCATCATTAGTTCTTTACACAATGTGAAAGATACAAGTCAAGGGTTTCTTCAGTCCCTCACCCAGACCAGGGGTGTGGATGGATAGGGACAAGGGGGCGGTACAAAAATGTAGTATTCCATGATATCCTATTTCTGGTTCCTGCCTAACCAAACTCCCACACACAAGTCCTCAGCTTAGTTCTGTCCTAACCTTTGATCCTAACCTTTTAGTCTTCAGGACCCCATGACAGAGGAAGAAAAGAGCTAAGGAACTAGAACAGTGTTCCATGAGCAAACATGAAATATACGTGTGACAAAGTATCACAAAGACTACTGGGAATCAATGAAAATCTGAATACTGAATGGGAAACTGAAGGCAGTTCTCAAAATTTGAGCACCATCATTTGCTTCCCAAGTGAAACCCTTTGCAGAAGACTGACAGAATAAAAAAATAAAGAGACAAGCGCCGGGCAGAGGAAAGGGGGTGGGGCTACACACCAGGCTCCCCTCACCGAAGAGTCATCAGGAAGGAAAGAGGTGAAAACTCATGAATATTTCATCTTTTCTTCCTCGTGGGGAAACTGAGGCTCACCTAAGTGACCAGAGAGACCCGAGGCCCTAAAGCTAGTTGTTAGGTGGGGCAGGGCAAACTTCCTTCTAGTTTCTGTTCTCTGTAGACCATGCTGCTCCAGAGGGCGGGCAGTGGGATTGTGTTTGTTAAAAGGCAGACCCACAAATGGTTAGGAGATGCTGGGGGTGGGAGTGGGGGTGACATCAGAGACTACAAGAGAAAAAAGAATATATGTTTGCTGAAGTCATCAAATGGCAAAGGTCAAATTGGCCACATTGTTAAAGCAGTTTTTTTTTTTGTCATGAACCTTGAATCTCACCACCACATCATATTCAAAGCAAATCTACTGGAAGCCAGACCTTCAAAGGTGTAGTAATACTCCACATACCCATCCAAGACCTCAGACCTAGTCACAAACCTTCCCGGCTTACAGGCTCCATTTGGAAGGCATTTTTTTTTTCATTGTTGTGTCTGGTAATTCATCTTTGAACTTTCTCAAGAAAGAGCATTATCAATGGTGGTAGGTGTCCAAGCCTAGTCCATGGAGGCCCTATTTGACACACAGTTTAAGATGCTAGAAAAAGAATCACCCGTCCTTCAGAAGGAGAAAATTAAAGCACCAGGCTGCTTCTGAAGGTGTAGAAGCTGATGAAAGGTACCAACAGGAGAAAGTAAACATGGAAAAATTATCATAATAAGCGTGAGCTTGTGAACATAAACTGATGCAAGCCAGAAACTTCAGCTCAGTGTTACTGAGCCGAAACCCATTATATTGGCTCTATGAACTTTATGGGAGAAGAATCACAGGGCTGCAACCACCTCTGTGTGTAGGAGTAAGGGGAATCCAAAAAGAGCTAGCCTGATGATTAAACACATACAAACTCTTTGAAATTGAAGAACACAGTAATAGAGAATCTGCATCTGTTTAAAGTGATTGATACCCTTCTACTGAGAAAAAGCAAAACTAATAGGCTTTTCATAGACTCAAAGAGGAGCTGGGAGCCAAAGGACCACTGGAAAAACCTCTAGTGTCTCCATGATGCTGTCTTAAAGGCAGTAAGCCAACGCAGACAACCACATGGACAGGTACACAGGCGAGGAGGTGAAGAGAAAAACCAGGAGAGAACAAGAGCCTTCCTTATGACATCTATCTATGGCTGGCAATGTGTTCTAGGATTGCCACTGGTCTTAAAGATCGTGGGTTGATTACAACTATTACCCAAGATTGTATTCTTTATAGTGTTTAATGGTTGTTTTTAATGATGGGCTGAGGGCTAAACACATTCATTTAAAAATAGAAACAAAAATTCAGACACACCTAATTATAAGTGCACCAAACTCAATGGCCACATAAACAGCTTTAGCACCCTCAAGGTTCTGCATTTGTTTTCATGTTCAAACAATTCTTCTACTCATTTAGTGTATTTTTTAATATTCTATGCTCTGCTTCATTCTCCAGAGGATACTTAAGGGTATTCATCTCAGTGGGACAGGAAGTTAAAGGAAAAACTACTTTTTAATGACAGCCATTTCATCTGTTTGCATATGGCTATCGTGGTGCCTCATTTCCCTGGACAGGTCCTTTGCCCATACTCTAAGGACAGTGATTTTCTAGCATCTGGCAAGGCCCTGATGCCACCTTCCACAGTGGTGCTTAAGAACGGAAGCCAGGGTTAAGAGTCTAGAGGGCACAGACACTACCACCATCAGACCAGAAACTGGCACCCAGGGACCTTCCTCCATGATGGACACTGG